ACAAAAGACACAATATTTTGAAAGCCATTTCTTCACTCTTTATATTTTCTTTTCTTGTGTCTGTCCTGTCTTTGCTGCTGTTTGACAGTGCTCCAAAGGAGTGGAATCCAGCTTAAAAGAATACATGCATCTTCTCTAGCTCCAAATGCCCAGAACAATTGGAAAAGCTGAACAGATTTTTGTAAATTTTACTCAGCTGTTAGCTTCAAAAAGGATTGTCAGAAGACACAGGTGCATCTGTTATCTTCAGCTAACTTCTTGCAAGAAACTATTTTGAATTTTTTCATTTAGAGACACATAAAAAATAAAAGTATCAATATTAAAAAACATCAAACATCTAGGGACACTTTAGTTTGGACCAAGCATAGACCTGAGAGACAGCAGTAATTTCATATTTTGTTTTCCATGACCCTTTTGATACTTATATACTAGAGCTACTAAACTATAATGAATACTGTATTTATTCATCCTTATATTTTCTGAGCAACTCATATTCTGTATTTCTAAACCTGTTGCCTTTAGCAAATTTCCTGCATTGTATTAAGAGATTAAATGACAGAGAACTTGACAGGCTGTTCTATGAGAAACCTTAGGTTTTCCTTCTTTTTTTGAAAGCAAAATAACTGCAAATGGGTTTTTCCTTCAGAGACACCACTAGAGATTCTTACTGCAATGGTAGAATTGAATGAACTTTTTTTTGTTTTTTCTTAAACAGTGGCCTCCCTTCTCTTAACCAAAGCAGAGTGTGCTTAAAGCTACCAGGGGCACTGGGTGCAGCTCCAAAAACTATCCAGAGCTATTTGAAACAAAAATTTGAAACAGCTCAGCAGCTCTTAAACACAATCTTCCTTCAATTTCACACAACTGTAAAAGTAAAAATAAAACCATGATCTGTTTAACTCTGAAAACTGTTGTTTACAGTCTGTGGCCTTATGAATAGTGTCTTGATAGGTGAAGTAAAATGCCTGGTTTCCCACAAAAACAGCAGTGAGAGAAAATGTGCTCTACAGCCCCATATATCATCATAAGAATTCAATATCCAGGACATTTTCTGTTCACTGTGCTTGAATTCAGAGAAAGACGAGATAAGGTTAGAAAAACACAGCAGAGATTACTTGTCACTTTAAAGCATCTCCCTGTGTTAACTGTTTTGTGCTGTAGGCTCTGAAATACCAACACAGCCTCTGAGACTGTGCTGAGAAGTAGCAGCCGAGCAGTTCTGTGATAAAGTACATGATAACTCAAGTGGGTGCTAGCTACAAGTGTTTGCAAGTATTAAGAATAATACACAAAGTAAAGCCCAACCATTCCTAAAGCAAAGGGCTGACAGCTCAGGTGGGTGGACAGCCATACAAATGGAGTGTGTAATAAGGGAACACAGCTTTCGTGCAGTGTAATGGAGCTGAAGAGAAAGCAGCAAAACAATGCTCAGAGCAAAAGCAAACTAAAAAAAAATCATCTTTTCTAGTAGCAAACTCCTCTGTCCCTTCTTACTGCTTTTCTCATTGCTCCAGGGTAAGTATCAAGTGCCTCAGTCAATCCTATTACCTTGATCTGAGACATCCTTAGTATGGGTGAGGGATTACAAGCCTGGGAAAGTACAAGTCAGGGCTGAAAAATCGTGTTCTCCTGTAAACCCGGGAGCTGCCATTAACCAGCAAGAAATGGTCTATCCACTTTGGTTTTCAGAGTTTACAGGCTCAAGCTTCCTAAGATTTAACTCTCTATAGTCCACCAAAAAAAAAATATCACTGCAATTGTTCAGGTGAAATGAGAGATGAGCAAAAGACAACCTAGTATCTAGGCTCAACAGCCTGGGAAACTTTTAAGCTGGCTGAAGTGAGCACCTTAAACTCAGCAGAGCTATGTAGCACAGTCTGCTGCTTCTGTTCTCTTCCAGGCTCCTCTAGCAACATAAATCACACTGAAAGATCTTTACGGGGTCAAAAACAGAATGAAAAGTGATTTCAAATATTATGTTACTAAGCAGTAGCACACCAATGGAAAATAAACTGTAATTTATGTCTCAGCACTGATACAGAGTCTGCTAAGGTAGTCCCAGAGAGTACTTTGAGAGCACAAGGCAGAACAGAGTTTATTACAGATTATTAGCAACTAAGCAGATTTCTTTTGTGTACTTTTTATAGCCTAAGCATCACCCAATGCAGATGCATACCAACTAAAATTTTGGCTTGTCAACACTGCCAGTACTGTAATATAATTGTGAGAGAGGGTAAATACATTCTCAAAAAATATGGCTGTCAATGAGATCATTTTTGGTTACCTAATTTTAAAAAATTGGATTTTTAAAGGCCTGAGAGGGTATCAGGAGTTAAACTGTAACTTTTAGATCTCTACATTAGAGCTACCTGTTAGATACATTTCCAAATACTGTATGAAAATATAAAGGAAAGCACCAGTAGAAAGAAATGGTCCGTTTAACCACATGTCCAACAGTGGAAACACATATATATGAAGGGAGAAAACTCTGGCACTTTCTGGGGTCGTTTTTTCCTTCTAATTCCTCCGGCATTCAATTGCAAGAGCTTGGCCCCTATTGAACAAGACTGCCACTGTTCCACTGTGTAGATAACAGGGAACTCTGCAATTATTTCCAGTTCAAATACAAGTTTTATTGTAATATAGAATTAAAATGTTTTAAATTTTTCTAGACAACTGCCAGATTAAGGTCTACCACAAAATAAAGCATAACTAGTTTTGTCATTTTGCCATTACTCCATTAAGATATATGAAATATCAGTTTTCAATTAGTTCCTTTTTACTATTTCCTTTTTGGCTCACAATCTTCAGTATTTTGGATGCAGTGTAATCTTATGCCCAGGCAATAGCACAATTTAGTATCACTGTTCAAACTCTCTTCAGATCTTGCCAACTTTTTCCAAGAAAAACACAGAAAAACTAGGATCTGTAATTCTAGTATTCGCTAAACATGAAGAAGCAAAAAACAAAAAAAAAACAAAAAAACAAACTATAAGGCAGGCAGACCATTATAAAGCATCAGGGAAAAGCTTGGGCAAACTTTGTTTCTGCTTCATGGATTCACTGAGATCCAAACAATGTTTATAAGGACAGAAATAAGTAAAACAATATTTCACTGGTCAATGTTTGTCCTCTAGGACAAGCACTTGGTGATATTGACTGTTTGCCAAGAAGAGTGACAGTTGGAGTCACATAATTTTATCAAAAAAGCCATTTTCCTTTCCTCCCACTTGGCAAAATAGAACATTATCTTAGCAGAGCAGGTTTCTGAAATTGGGCTTTTCAAAAACTGCAAAGTGTGTTGCTGTGAAAGACAGGACATTGTCACATCGCCAATTTTGGCACACAGGCAGGAAAACCACGATCTGCGCAGGCAGTGCTAAGTAAATGAGCTTAGCAAAGTACTGTGTGCTTTCATCTTTTCCACAGAAATCTGGGGTTGAAGGGCCATGGTCAGAGGGTCTCCAGGGGATGCATGGGGATGGTCCCACTCCATGGCTGACATAACCCTATGCTTCCAGGACCTCCACCATGTGCCTCTAGGGCAATGATTTCTTTACAGAGGCAGCCTCACAAAGCTGAAATTACCCAGGAGCAATTGAGCACAATCGTGCAGAGTCAGCCAAGGAAAAAAAGGCAAATCTGATGCTTTGTGTACTCTGAGGTAAAAACACCAGTTGACAGACATCTATCACTTCCTACCTCTACCCCATACACAAATCAAAGGGAATCCTGAATACACAGTGTGGGACTGAGTATGCCCAGAAGAGACTCCTGTTTAACCTGTCATGGGTAAAGCAGGGAGGACTTTACCACAGATTACTGGTAATGTAAGAGACAAGGAATACATCCTCTTCTATTAGACAAACAAAATTTTCACTTCTTAATAGGAAACATGGACTACTCAACTGCATGGATTACTACTGCTGGCCAATCCTTGAAATTTATAATTATTGCAGTCTATTGGCATCCAGGAGATTCTTCAATTTTATGGCCTCTGAATGTACAACCCAGTAATAATTCTGACCTTGAGTATTAAAATAACACTGAAGTGATCAGTGGCAGCTGCTGTATCCTACGGATCGCCATATACAGACTCCCCATTCCCAAGCACACAAGATGCAAAGCGAGAAACAATGCAGGTACCCACTTCCTAAAACAGGAATTTTCAGCAGCTGTACATCAGTGCAACTCTATTAAAGTCAATTACTTGATTTTTTTTTACAACCATTTTATTTCTCTTCAAAATCTACAGAAAGACTATTTTTCAATAAACATAACTCAGGAACACTAATTAGATGTGCCATAAGTACAAACAGGAAATACGGACAAATAGAAGCTACCTGATTTCATGTTAGAAACTGTCAAGGACACTCAGTCCCACTAAGATGATGATTCTTTTATAGATGCCAGAACAAAAACAGACTCAGTACACTTCCTGTTCAACAGCTGGTTTCTTTAGATTTGCCTCAATAGTCAACCAACAGAGTGTGGAACTACAGGGGAAGACAGAAGCATCATAAAAAGGCTGACTTGCTATGTCATATCATCATGAATTCAGCTGTCTCTATTGCATTTGTAAAAATCATACTCTCCAACCACATTACCAAAGAAATAAAAATCACAATTAAACATGCCTGCAACAATGTTTCCTTTGGAAAATTTCTGTGATTGTTGAGAACTTCGAAGGTAAAACACAGAAGAATGTTTTCACCACTGAAAACTTTTATTTTTTTGCTAAGAATTTTTTTTAAGCTCACAAGATTTTTTATAATGGTTCTAGCAACTGCAGCCTAAGTTTGATGAAATTCCTTTAAATTTCATCACTTTAAAGTGTAATGAACTGTTTAAAAATCCAGTGGCATTTTCCACCTTGGTCTACATTTTAATATAATGGAAAGTCATGCAACTACAGAAGGAAAAATCCTCTGCAATGCCCCAAGGGAGCTCTCTTTTTCCAAAAGTAACACCTTTATACTGAAACAGAAGCTGTTCCTTACCTGAAAAGAGTTCATGTATCGAAGTGAAGGTGGCAGAGATGCAGTACTCAAACCCAGTACCAACAGTAATTCCAAACATGTTTCTGATGGAAACTTTAAAGGATGAACTCCCATATCATTTTCCCATGCATCAGCAAGCCTATAGAGTTAAAAAAAAACTTCTTAATTTTCTTAAAATATATCTGAACCATAAGTTTCAACCAAGTATTAAAATGTGTCATATTACCGTGATAAAAAATTCCATTCATGTTTTCCATGTAAAAGTCATAGATTAGTGTGTTTTACCAGAAAAACACAGCGTATTTAGATAAAGTGCCTTGCCATACCACCAATATGTTTCAAAAATATACATAATGTGAATGGAAAACTTAGCATATTTTAGAAAAATTCACTCATGTTTATAATTTAAAGTATCATTACTTCTGAACAAAATTTCATCTGTCACTGGTAATTTCCCATTATATAACGATTTTACACAGAGAGTACTCTTTGCAGTACATAATGCCCCCACTTTTTATTTTGTTTCTAGAAAGACAGATTCCATTCAATTCTGAAAAGACAGGAGGTCAGGCATGATTTTCAAAACTGATGCTCATGATGCTCACTGGGAACTTACTAACAGTCTATACCAAGCAAAACTCAATCCCAGTTCACTTTCTACAGGTTTTTTCTCTTTGGATATATTAAAAGAGTTTTGATTTCTAGAGTTACTCAAAAAAACAACATTCCAGAAGCATATTCCTATAAACTGTTCCCATTATCATACGCTAAAGAACAAGATTACTTCAACAAGACTTACTCAAAACACAAGATCATTTTGCTTCCTATAGTTCAGGCTTATTTCTTCCATAATACACAAACTGACAGACTGATCAGTGATCCAGTTACTTTAATAACTTTGTCTGGGTAGCTAATACCAGATACTCCTGGGTAAGATGAATGCCGTTTATTCTCAGTAGACCCGAGTACATCACTTTGGAAGACAATGCTTGCTATCTTTCCCTGTCCAAGACTCCAAAATTTCAATAAACAACCTTAGTATTTGCTTTCATTTTTAAATTCCTCCAGCTCCTCTGAGTGAACCACTGCCTGTGAACATATCAGCTTATTTTAATGTACTTTCTAGAAAAAGCTGCATTTTTTTAGACACTTGGGACCCCAGCATTCAGCACAGTGAAAACTGAGCAAATACTCTCTTCATAACATCTGCAACATCCTGGATGGATCTCGTTCTCTCAGGTCACCCAAAACCAATGATTCTCTGTAAAGTCTTGCATCTTACATATAGGCTTCCAGATACAGTTTTTGTACACAGCATCTTCTTAGTTCTTCTAGATGTCCTACTTAGCATAATTTACACATCTTTTTTAAAAGAGTGGGTGTACTTTCACTTTCTTATCTCCATTTGTCTGAAATTGGCCACTTGAATTTCAACTCTTTGCTTTTGTCTTTTCTACTATTTACATTTTTTTCTCCCTCCTAATTTATCTATGCATATATAAGAATCCAACTCTGCTTTGATACATAGAAGCAATACCATAATGCACAGAATGTCAGAGGGGCTTTCATCTCCCTAAAAAAAGAAGTGTTTTCTTTTTTTTTTTTGTCCCTACAATAAAAGATAATCATATCACATCTAGATTCCCAAATACATAATTTGTTTTCTCAAACCTCACCAGAATGAGTCATCTTTACAAAAGAAGGTCTAAGCTTTACATGGTAGGGAGAAGGAAGAAGACACCCCCTGGCTCTTCTAATGGCAGTGCATCACTTAATATTTTCAACATGTCTGATACCATACCAAAGGGCAGAGGCCAAAACCTCCCACATATTAACCTTTATAATATGTATTATCTCATTGGACACTTAAACTGTGCCACATGGATCTGGAAAAGCTGTTAAAGCTACTACAAAAAATCCCAACTGATCACTGGAACAGGAAGGTGAGATGTTTCGAAAAGATTCCGGAATATTTTCTTTATTGGAAGGTGCAAAGCTCCAGTTAAATCGGAAATTCTCTGTCTATGTTGAATGGAAAAAGGATTCTTTTGTAAGACTACAGACTACACAAGTGGCCAAGCCCAGAAAAGGCAGCCCTGACTGGTTCAGAGTTCCAGGTTGGATAGGGCTCTGAGCAACCTGTTCTAATGGAAGGTGTCCCTCCCCACAGCAGGGGGATTGGAAATTGATGATTCTTAAGGATCCCTCCAAACCAAACCATTCTATGGTTCTATAAATGTTCCAGGAGGAGCACTTAAAGCTAGATGATCAGTACAAATTAATCAGTAACCAGTCTTGTTAACTGTAATCCAGAATGGAGTTTTACATTTCCTTATCACTTAGTAACTTCATTTCCCCACATAATTAGAAACTTACCTTTATATGCTCCTTACTCATTCTTTTCTCTACATTTTCTACAGTATGGTGATGCAGGAAAATTTAGATGAAGCTAGCAAAATAGGGGCTCTTTTTTTCAGAAATCAGCAAGTCTAAACAAAGCACTGTGCAGGCACCTTCAAACACAGCTAGAGTTTGTAGACTGGAGGTGGTATGCTAAGGTTCTGGGTCTTGGGAAGGTGTTTCCACAGATCAACACCCTTCCTTCAAAGAAATTTTCCAGCAATATTCAAAACATCACAACTTACATCAGTACCCTGATTCTATTCTTATGTTTTGATATAAGGACTTCTTGGAGATGCCTCCTCATTTTAAAGTCCAACTACTACAGCCCTGACACTGAACCGGGGATTTTCCTTTTGTGGCTGTTGGTTTATCTGAGGGAAAGGTTTGCATAAACACATTTAGCCTAATTATACTGTAATTCTTGGTGATTAATTGCTCAGTTATTAGTATTTCCTGAAATTATTTCAGTGTATTCCATTATTACAAACAAAACACATATATCCCAGGACTCACTGCTCTAGGAACACGTTAGGATTTAGTCCTTGTGACTTGCCCTTTCACAGCATTTAGCACAAATGGCTGTGGGAAGTCACTGCTTTATTAGACCATTGCTCTCTGTTCTTCTTTATCCCTCTTGCTTTTAGAAGATTTTTTCCATAATCTTTATTGTAGAGGAAAGAGAAAAGCATCTATGTATAAAAAAAAAAAAAAAAAAAAGGAAAATAAACCACAAAGAATCCAGTTTTTCACCTTAGTTTCATGGTCTTTCTATATAAGGGGAGTTCTCTCACTTCGAGTACAGGAGAGGAGACTGCCTTCTGTTTACTGGAGGAGGTAGATTGGCTGATAAAGCTCCTCAGGAGAGTGAGCATCCACAGAGGACAACTCAGCTGACCAGCTCCTAGCACAATTCCCAGACGTCACAGCACAGCTTGCTATGCTGGCTGAAAGGAATAACAGGAAGATAAGACATAAGCTTGAGGAAAATGAGTTGACAACAGAAATAATGCTGTTCTTCCTTCAGCAAATATTCAACTTTTCTACACCACAAAGAAGCCTTGAGATTCTGGACTTCACAGTCTGACACAAAAAAATATGACCCTCGGTATCAAACAGAATTCATAAATTCTAAATAAATTCCCTAAATCATTGTGGAGTGCAACACTGCATCTACTTTGGACAAATTTTGTGACAAGTAAAATTGTACCACTACCTACAGGCCTTGTCTGTATTTGGGGGAAACATGAGTCAGCTTTAGAAACCAGGTTTAAAGAGAGAAAGATGTAGTATAACATACTCAGGAAAATGGCTCAAACTCAGACCATGCTCTGAGTCAAGAAAAGGACATGCCAGAGTAATTTTTTCACAGGATGTTAAATCCACCTCTGTAGATGACCATCATCATCCAGTTTTGTCTGTCAGTGATCTAAGCAACAGGAAAACACAAATAATTCTAAGCATTTTGTCTGTCACTCCATTCTTTGCATTTTCTCTCTTTTCTTTATCCCACTCTTCTCCAGAACTTGTATTAATCCTTTTAGCTTATTTCAACCAAATTTTATCAAGAAAGATCTCAAATAAATTAGGTTTGGGGAAGTTTCATGTTTTCCTGATTTTCAGGAGAGTACTGAGAAAAAATGCACATTAGTTACTCCACAGAGAAAAGCTGCTAATGGAACACAGTAACATATATACCAGCTAATCAAATTGAGGTGTTTACCTGAGAGAATATGAGCATGAATTTAATAATATGGAGTTCTTATCTAGCAAAATCAACTACTATAAGCAAAGTAAACATGTTCCTCAGAGCCTGTCATACTCCCTAATGAATGAAACAAACTGAGAGATTTGGTACTTTTACTTAAGTGCACTCTGTGTTGTGGGTTCAGGACAACTGGAAAAAAAAAACCTTAAATTTTGAGGCAGGAAGAAGGATTGGTAATAATGGAATTGACCCCCAGTAAGAACAACAGTCAGAGGTTTCCCCAAAGTTAATCAAACTTGAGATGCAGCCTCTGCAGATCAGAGTGAAACTTCAAACTCAGAACTCCTTCTATTCAATCTAAGAGATATCTATTAGTCTCACCCATGAAAACACAATGAACAGACATAAGATTGAAAGATGTAATTAGACCCTTCATATAACTTTCATTCTGAGGACAGAACCACACATGATGAATGCTAATAAAACTTTAATATATTTCTGGCATACTATTCAGAACTGAACTGAAGTAGTACAGAAAGTGAAGAAGTAAAACTACTCAAGGGGGGTGATACTTGGCTAGATGCTGGCGTGAAACAACTATGTGCTATGTGCTAAACTGTCAGAACAGAGCATTCCAAACAAGTAAGAAATAAAGATGCCAAGCTGAGACTGTCTTCTCCCTTGTCCTTTTCAATGCTTTCTCTAAGGAACTGGTCATTTGAAGGAGAAATTGAGAACATGATATGATTGTCGCATTCCCATAATCAGTCAAAGAAATACAGCTGGGAAAGTAAAGTTCCCATAGCCATATGTATAAAATGTTTTAAAAAATGAAGTGGTATTTTCAAAGTGTTTTAGTTGATAATAATGTGAAATCCTAGAAAATTTTGATTTCTTTAAAAAATAAAAATAAATCAGTGAATGCTCTCTGAAATTCGAAGCAGAGAGGAGCAAAACTTGAAAACTACTCAGATAAAATTAAATTTGAGGCAGTAACTTCTCTAGCAGAAATAACTGATCGCAATGTCTTT